CTCAAAATCAGACTGCCACAATATTTTGGTCTGCAGTTGTGGTTTCCAATATTCCCAGCATGAGTATTTTCCACAGCTGCACTCATTTCTTCTACAGATGCCAGTAATCATTTGCATTAAGTCAGACACCACTTACTTAAAGGTTAAAGGAAGGTTCTGAGTTATATATTCTTTCCCATACACTTGCTGAACTATATGAAAGAGGAAGGGTACACCCAAAACTTTAGAGGCCGCTTGAAGTAGCAGCTTGCTTACAACACACTGTAATTTATTCCTTTGGTTTTAATAAAGCACTGCTATCACCTTGTGTTCTGTGTGATGCTTTAGTACAAATTTCATAGTCTCAGTTCCTCTGTCTGTGGAATAATAGAGATATTTGTAGCTCATTTTAAAGGAGTTTCAGAAAAGTGAGTGTGAAATATTTCTCTGATATGCCTACACTTTAGCATTTCCACAGCTTCTGCTCTGGAGCTTGCTTCTGGGTCAAATGGACTTGCAAAGTAAAGCCAAGAGCCAGTTCCTTGATAGAGCCATAAGGCTTTAGCATGTCTAATTAAGAAAAGAAAGTGATGTAAACTCAGATACTTGGGTAGTGGAGATAGGAGGATTGTGGTCCCAGGCTATCCCAAATAAAAACAAACACCAGATCTGAAAAATAAAGCAAAAAGGGCTAGAGGCATGCTCAAGTGGTAGAGCACCTGCCTAACAAGCACAAGGCCATGAGTTCAAACCCCATACTACCAAAAAAAAGTGACAAAAAACAAACAGACTATGTTAAAAGAAGGAGGTGACAGTGGAAAAAGGAAGTGAAGGAATGGGGAGGGGAAGGAAGATGAAAAGAAAAGCCCTGCAACTCCAGATGACTTTGTCTACAGCAGCCAGGTCCCCCACTCCCCGCAATGTCCTCAAATTCACTGCATACCTTCCTAGCTCACATCCTTTGCACATACTGTTCCTTGGTATGAAATACTCTTCCCTTAGAGCACTCCTTTCATTTGCTCAAGTGCATCTTTCTCAACAAGCCCAGCACTGAAAATTAAAATCACAACCCCCACCCCCAGCACACTCCATCTCCTTAGTCCCTGCTATATTTTTCAACAGTACCAACCCTCTAAAATGCCATATAATTTTATTTACTTATTTATGTTTGTTATGTCTCCCCACCCCTGCACTAGTACAAATAGATGCACCATGAGGGCACAGATTTTTGTCTGAATTTTCACTGCTATATCCCTAGTCCCTCAGAGAGTACCTGCTTCAAAAGAAACAATTACTGGATGAATGAATAGATTAGGACTATCCCAGTTTGCTTAAAATTGCCTCTTCTTCCCAAGCAAGCTAAGAAGCTGCTCTGCCTTCCATGGGGAAATAGCAAGCAAAAGGTGAGGAGAGCGTACAGCCCCAGTAAATCCTGTGGACCAACAAAGGGATATGTGGATGCCATGAGTGCATAAAAGGTGTTATGAATGTTCATCTTCCCCCTTCGATTTATATGTTGAAGCCTTAACCCCCCAGCACGGCTGCATTTGGATACAGGACCTCCAAGAAAGAAACTAAGAGTAAATGAGGTCATAAAGGTGGGGTCCTGATTCAATGGTAGTGTTCTTATAAGGAGTGACGGAGAGTGGCCATGTGAGGATGCAACAAGAAGGCAGCTGTCTGCCAGCCAGGAAGAGAGCCCTCATTATGAACCAAATTGGTTAGAACCTTGATCTACCAAATCCCAGCCTCCAGAACTGTTCCTGGACAAATTTCTGTTAGATAAGCTGCCCAGACAAAAGTATTATGTTATAGCAGCTTGAGTAGACTGATACAGAGAGCAAGAGAAGATCCTGAAATGGCACATAAAACTATTAAAGATAAACATTGCCATTCTGAAAATCTGTTTCAGGCTCTGTTGACAGCAGTCACTTTTTGCCCCTGAAACTCCTGCCCAGATCATCGATCACAAGGTTGTGTAGGCCATAAATGCGCACACAGCATGTAAATGTTCAGAAAGTACCCACAGACAAACGTGTTCATCAATGATACCAATTCTATAGATGCTAATATACATAAAGATGGTATCTTTTCCATGTATATTTATATCAACAGTGCACAGACAGGCTAAGAGGATGGATGAGATGTGTTTATATAGCTCATATATATATCATCTAATACAGCTAGTGATTTTTTTCATCAATAAATCTTTATTTTCCAACAGTAAATTCAGCCTAATTACTCAGCTACCACAAATTTAGACAGCCAATAGGAGGCCAGTTCTGAACCTGCGAGAAGAGGGTGTTTGGCTAGAAGGCCTACAATACGAGTCCTGTGTGAGGCTCTAATCGGTCTTACCATCACCACATGGCTCTGGAGCTCTGGGTCTCCTGACCCCAAACACAAAGAATGGCTGGGTTACTGCTGCTGCAGAAAACCTTGCAGAATCCTGCTCTATCCTGTCACCTCCTCCGTGTTCCTCCAGGATCAGAGTTGAAAGGCAAACTTCAGACCATGGCAAAGGAGAAGGGCACTACCAGAAAACTCAAATCTTGTTACACAAAAGCTCCCAGGCACTGTCCCAATCCTTGTGTCATGGTAAGTACTATGGTAAAGAAGTAAACCTCTGGATGAAGCTGGCAAGGGCAGGGGAAAATAAGGAGGATGAGACTAGAAGATGAGCAGAGGCTTTGTTTGGCGATGTATGACTCCTCTTGTCAGGAGCAAAGACAACCCTCTACCCTCCCAACTGCTGGTGGAGGGTGACCACTCGGCCTGCTGATTAACTCCATCTATATGGCCACTTCTCAGACAAGCCACATCTCCACGTTGTGAGCAAGTCCTAGATGGTGAGGCTGCCTTGATTCTGATGTTGGGCTAGACATGGGCTCATCTTTGTTCAAAAGCTCCAGGCCCTAGACTTAGAGGTTTTACCTTGTCCTTCTCTATGACCAGGTTAATCAGGGCCTCACTCTTAGTGGGTTAGCCAAAATATATTATCTGTTTTAACTGCTGCGTGTCACCTAAAAGTGAAAGAGGAAGTGAGATAAGTATAATTGTAACAGAATATTCTCTATGTTTACATAAACATGCTATTTACGTGTATTTATACATGTTTGTGTGAGCATTGAGAATGATGTGGAAGAATCTACATCAACTTGCAAACGGTGGTTAACTAGAGAGTCAGAACTGAGAGAAGCTGAAAGGTTATTAAAATCTATGCTGGAACGCAGGTCAGTGGCAGAGTGCTTGCCTACCACACACAAGGCCCCGGGTTTGATCTCTGGCACCACAAAAAAAGAATTCTATTTTAGTCAGTCCCTGTGTATGTGACTCCGTCATTTTTATGCCTTGACTCCTAAATCAATCTCTCTAGCCAGGAGTTTTCCTCCAGAACTTTCAAGGAAAGAGCAAAACCATAGCTGCCATCCCAAATGCTCCTTGTTTCTATTGAGGGACTCTACCTTTCTTAGTCTCAGAATTCAATCTTTCACTCTCATCTCTTTCTCTTGCCCAACTCCGTCTTCTTATCCTTCACACCTTTACCATAGCTCAGAACACTGCCACATGTGTTTTCCCACCTCCTACAGATCTCCTGGTGCCACCAGGAGAGACATCTTTGGTCTATGCTCTATCAATTCACTCACATGTTTTAAAATCCTTAAATCTTCATATGGCCTGCTTAATAAGCTCCAATCCATACACATCATGATGCTACTATTTAAAGACCTTCACTGTATAAATCCCAGTTTCATCCCTTACTGATTCCATTCAACTGTCCGCACACAAGCTTCAAACTCGTATGCACAATGATTTTCTACCAGCATGCCATTGCTGACTCTCGAATTCTTCTCTCCTCCTCATGTCTGCTATGGAAATTCTATCCATCCTTCAGTGGTGCATTCTGAGTACCACACTCCACTAACTAAATGTGCTTTTCCTCTTCTCTGAGTGCCCACAGCACTGGCACATCTTCAAGAGGGTCTCATATTAGTCCATACTGCTATAGGCATTGACAAATTTCTCTTAATTTGCTCTACTACATGGAGAAGAGATGAACCTACTTCTCCATAGATTCTGATCACCTAAAAATATTTGTGTACTTAACAATATTTATACAAACTGCACACTATACTAACATTTGTGAATTTGGTTGGAGTAAAAATTTTTCTGTAGAGAAATCAAAAGAGGACAACATTCATTGAATAACCATTGCACTCCAGGCAATGAACAAAATATCCTATGAGTTTTATTTCATCTTAACATATATGCAATCTTTCTGTATCCATAAAGAAAAATAATCTAAATATACCAGATTAAATTATACTAGAAGCTCCTATAAAATAGTACGGTCCACTGACAGTTCTGCACTTAAGTTTATTATGAAAAGCACCATGAAAAAGTGATAACAATCAGGGACTGAAAAATATATATATTTAAAAAAGATAAATTTGATTTCTATGGCCTCTTACAGTTACATAATCCTATGATATCATATTACATGCAAGTTAATTCAATGTTGGGTGTATTTTATAATATCCTGTGCTATATCATAAAATAATACTATTAGCCACACTATTTAATTGTCCTGGATATCCCATTTTCTGACTGGGCTGATCATCAGCATACATCTTATTCCTGTTATTCCAACACTATGCTACTAGGAAACCACAATTACTTGAAAAGGAAGATGTATAAATCTAAACATACAGGAAAATAACTCCAAAAACAAGTATCTCTTGCATTAAAACAATTTTAGAACTCTTCTGGATTTATTTTCATTCAAGAAAAAGAAAACAAACTGTTTTCAATGAAAACTTCCCTATCACACTATTTTGCCTATATATAATATTCCCTTAAAGTGCCACATAGACCTCCTTCCTAGAATTTTAACATTTAAATTTGTTTTTTAATTCCCCTCCATTTCGTAAGTTTTCCTGAAATAACAAGAGTTTATTTTAAGGTTTTAGAAATAAATCGTAATTGAAAAATATTTTTTAAAATAAAGACATGTAACTTACCCACAAAGAAGTCAGAAATGGCCAAGTTAAGAAAAAAATAATTACTCTGATGTCTAAGGTTTTTGTCCACCACAAAAGCTAATATGACCACAGCATTTCCTAGCATTATAGCAAAAGCTAGTGTAGACATTAAAAATGTTAAAGCAATTTGAGTACTTGGTTGTAAGCTCCTGGTACCATTGGCACCTGACATCACACCAAATGATGAAGAAGCTCAATACAATAAATCAACCCAGGCGAACAATTCTGACAAGTACGTTTTCCAATCACACACATAGAATACACAGTTGCCTACTCACAATGTTCTTCTAATCTAATGCTGATCTCATAATACTTCCTGATTCTTGACAAAGTCAGCTTGTGGTTAACAGTTTCCCTTTAAGTGACTCAGAAAATATTTCCAAAAAACAGTGAAATGCTTTATCTTAAATAATGCAATGTGATTCAACCATCTCCCTGTAACAAAGCAATATTATATAATATCTATAAAATATAAGTGACATATGGGAAATAACATTGGGCTCAAGTGAGATTCACTTTTTTAAAATAATAGATATTCAGTTAAATATTGTCTTCTGGCCATGACAGGATGACAGGGGCTGAATTTCATGTTCCCTCTACATCAAGCAAAAAAATGAACAGTGGTTTTTAAGATACTGGAAATGAAGCAACAAAGGACAGTGACTTCTGAGAAAAGAAGAATAAGGAGAGCTCTGCAGTTTCCCTGGCTTACTATCCCCAGAGTTTCCAGGGCTGTGCAAAGAGGGGAAATTAAGGCAGAACCCAGCAGACTTCCTGTGATGAGGGAATGGAGCTGAGAGTCAGAAGTACAAGAGAAGACTCTGGACCCAGAACTGCCTTGAGTAAGAACTGCAGAGATCTGCAGAGGATCCCCTTCAAGTATTTACCAAAGCACTGACCAGCACAGCTTACAGGAACCATTCTTAGACAGGGAAAGACTATTTGAGAAGATTAGAGGAATAATTCCCACTGTCATACAGGCCTGGCTATAGTGCCTACTCCCATAAGCCAGATGGGAAAAAAAAATTGTAATTCATGGGGCACTGGATAGTATATTCAGCAGGGTCTTGCCTTAGTACTGGTAATAATTATTTCTATACTAAATACTTTTTGGGCCCTACCTAACAAGTCTTAAAAGCAAAAGCTATACAAATCAAACTGTTTTCCAGATCATTTAACTGCAATCCTCAACACAGCTCTACAGTATTTATAGAATATATAAATATCCAAAACCCAAAGAGGAAAAACTTACAATCCAATCATAAGGCATGACAAGAAGCAGGTAAATTTGGTCTATAATGAGGAGAAAAATCAAACAATTGAAACCAACCTACTCCTGACACAGTAGAATTAACAGACAAGGACATAAAAGGAGTTATATCTGCATGTCATATTTTCAAAAAATATGTAAAATATAAAAGCTATTTTTAAAGACTCAAATGAAACTTCTAGAAATGAAAATTAGGATGTCTTAACTAAAAATACACAGGAAAGAATTACTGGCCAATCAGACATTGCAGAAAAAAGATCAGTGAATCTGAACACATAGCAATGTGAACCACCCAAAATGAAACACAGAGATAAAAAGAGAAATTTTAGAAAAATTAAGAGAGTACCACTAAGATATAGGACAACTTCAAGTGACTTAATAATGCATAACTAATAGGAAAACCTGAAGGAAAAGAATGAAAACAGAAAAAAGTATTTGAAGAATATTTTAAAACTTTCAAAATTTGATAAAAACTGTAAACCAAGAAGCTTAATGAATCCCAAACATAAGAAATATAAAGAAAACTACACAAGGCACATCAAATAAAATTAGTCAGAACCAATGCCAAAAAGAAATCTTACGAACAGCTTGGATCAGGGGAGCACCTCACATACAAAATAAGGAAGGTATAAATGCCCACAAATTACTTGTCAGAAGGAATGTAAGCAAGAATATAATGGTTGTGACATCTTTCAAGTGTTGAAAGGAAAAAAATCCTATCAACCTAGAATTCTATACTTACTAAAAATATCTTTCAAAAACAAAGCAAAATAAAGGCTTTTTCAGATATGAAAGCTGAAAGAATTCATCACCAGTAAACTTTCACTACAAGAAATGTTAAATTCCTTCAGGAAGAAGTAAAAGGATGCCGACTGGGGTCATAAATCTACACAAAGGAATGAAAAACAATAGAAAAGGAAGTTTTCTTGGTTGCCTTTCCTGATAGAATACAAGTTGCTAGAGGGCAAAGATTACATTTTGTTCCATTTTGTTATTTTTGTCTCACTTTGTTATTTTTTGTATTATACACATACTGAAAAGTATATACAAATCTTAAGTGTGTAATTGGTAAATTTCAACAAACAGAACATACCTGTATAACTATCACCATTATCACCAAGCTCCTATTCTATCCTCATGGGTTAAGCACTAGTCTGATACCTAAAAGAATAAAAGCATAAATCATTTTTGCCTGTTTTAATATTTTATAAAAGGAATTATACACTCAAAAAATTATATGAAAATGCTTTTTCATGTGTGTTTATCCATATGGTCTGTTTATTTGATTAAATTATAAAGAAATCATTACATTCTGCTACACTATACTTTCATTTGCAATACTTTTCACTTGATTAAAGTGAAAGAAAAAGAGGAATTGATTACATTTCTCTTTTATTTACAATTTCACTGGAGGAAAAAAATATTCCTTCTCACTTGTTAACCATAACCAGAACCTACAACTCCTTCACTGGACAAATCAAACTAATATCTATTCATCAAGTATCACTACCTCAGTAATAAAAAGTCAAATAGTTCTGAATTCAGAACCTAAACTTTTTCAACCTAAAATTCAGTGCTAGAAAGATACAGCTTCCCAAGAGAAAGAAGGGGCAAACTGAGTTTCTCAGGACCACATTCCACCCCTTACCTGAAAGCTTAGAGAAACTGAGTAACTCTGGGGACTTCCTACCCACAAACTCTTCAGGCCAAAACATGCAGTTCACTGCTCTTGCAGGCTACAATGAGTGAAACAACCTTACATTCAATAGACTTATTTTATTTCTCATTACTTTGAAATAAGTTAATGGAAGATTGGAATGGCTAAGTAAAATGCCTACTTAAGAAGGTGGGCATGACAAAGATCAAAGGTATAGACTTCAAAATTGTGTTTTACAACTTAAGGTGAGGGAGACTAAAAATTAGTTCCATTAAGTAAGTGGTGGAACTGGGGAGAAAGAAGGTAATATGTGCATTTAAACATAAATCTTCCTTGCTTCAATATAATTTTCTTTTTCAGTGGTGGATGCAGTAGTTCCTGAAACCATGGCTGCCACTGAGAATCCAAAGTCTGGTAATATTTTAAAACAAGTGTTATGGTTTGGATATAAAGTGTCTCCCAAACTCTCATGTGTTGAAGGCTTTGGTGCTCAACTGGTAGATCTAACCAACGATGGGTGAACGGATCAAGAGAACTCTGACTTCATCAGTACATTGGTCCATTGATGGATTCATAATTTGATAGCATTATTGGGAGGTAGCTGAAGGTGGGCCTGACTGGAAATAGGTAAATGGGAGTGTGCCTTTGAAGAGGGTCTTGTCCCTGGCCCCTTTCTGTCTCTCTTGGTTTCCTGGCTGCTATGAGGTGAACAGTCTTTTCCCTGCCATGCCCTTCAGTCATGATGTTCTTCCTTGCCACAAGCCTGAAAGCAATGGAGCCAGCCACCCAGCCACAGATTGAAACCCTGAAAACATGAGCCAAAATAAATCCTTCCTCCCTTAAGTTGTTTTCTCGGATATTTTTCCACAGTGACAAAAATTGACTAACACAGAAAGATAATTTCTATTAATTTAAACCTAAAGGCAAAACTTCCAAAGCAATTGATGAACTGGATTATTTGCCCCTTGCACCTTGTCAAGTTGGGGCTGTCTGTGCAATTTTTTTTTTCTTCACAGAAGTGTAGTCCCATTTCTCTCTATCCAATCTGACCCCTTACCACAGGGAATGAACAAAAGGGGAAGTCCTAGTATATCTCATCTTGCTACCGGCAATGTAGTATAGTACAGTGACTTAGCCAGAAGAACCTACTTTAGGAGAAAGATTTGGATTTAAGCTAATGATAAAATGGATAATGGTAAATGAAATGAAATTATTGCTGAGGGAGAACAGTTCATAAATGTTACAAAAGGGAAAATGCAATTATGGTACCTTCAGAGAATCTTAGAGTGAAAGAATAATACTCTTTCTTAACTCTGACCTCAAATGCTTCTTGAAATGAAGGACTTTGTTTTCGAAAACCTACTCTTTTGAAGAACCAAGACATAGACAGAACAGTAGCTGACACAATGAATATACCGTACTTCCATGAGAAGTCTATGTGCCCAAAATAGGTGAACAGATGAAAGCTTTGACTATAACTATATGGACTAATACTAACAAGACTGACTTTTGGGTCCCACTTCACAGGATAGGGCTATTATTGAAAACCTAAGCTGGGAAGCAAACTGTAGAAATACATATCTACCTTAATCTAAAGAACACTGATCAATAATAACCATAATGAATATTATATGACTATTAATTGTGATGCTGGATTAAGGAAAGTACTGGAATATGATGTAGAAGTGGGTCTTTTTTTTTTTTTTGGCTTTTCAGGGGTTTTTTTGTTTTATTTATTTATTCATTTATTTTTATTCATATGTGCATACAATGTTTGGGTCATTTCTCCCCCCTCCCCCCAAAGTGGGTCTTCTGAATGTCAAAAAAATTATTTGTAGCCAGGCACTGGTGGCTCACACGTATAATCCTAGCTACTTGGTAGGCTGAGATTGGGGGATTGCAGTTTGAAGTCAGCCTGAGCAAATAGTTCTTAAGACTCTCATCTCCAAAACAGCCAAAACAAAATGGACTAGAGATGTGGCTCAAGTGGTAGAGCGACATCTGTTTTGCAAGGGCAAACACCTGAGCCCCACCAAAAAAAAATTATTTGTAAAAACAGCTTTTTACCCTGTTATTATGGCTGGAAAGCCATAAAGAGGTAGAGAAACAACGGGGACACTCAGATCACATAAAAAGGAAAATAACTAAGTCTAACTTTGTGGGACCACATTCCTGAGAATGGAAAGCCAGAAATTCTCTGTGGATGGCTATGGGAAGCATTACGGCATAACCAAACTAAAGTTCTTGTGGTAGTGATTTTTACTCATGCATCTTAGCCCAAGCAACCAACTTGGTTGGGCTCAAACTTACTTCTCAGTAAGAGTAAATTAGTACTCAAACATCAACTACAGGTCAGGTGGATCAAACTGCATTGGACTGCTCGAAATAAAAGTCTTAGGAGACTTTGGAGCAGGGCTGGAA